CCCCCTCTTCCACCTTCCCTGCAACTTGTCAATATCTTATAATGTAAAAATTTGATAGCCAATTCAGAGCCCGACTTCTCTCTGAGCATACAAAATGAGCCTGAGTCCACAGGGAACACACACACACGTGAATCTGTCCAAAATGAGCTGAACGCAGCACGAGGACACTGAAATAAAAGAATAGATTGTGAGTTAAGAGTTTAGAATAAAAAGATTCAGTGCCAGTGTTCACCCACTGCAGATCTGAGCTCCGATGACCCCCAAGAAGAAGGAGTAAATTATTCATTAAGAGTCAAATGGCTTGTTTCTTGTGAAATTACCTTTCTCTCCCTCACCTCCTCCTGGATTCACACTAGCCAGAAGAATAATTAGTTATAAGGCCACAGCCATTTTCAGACTTTAATCATGTAACAGAGAAGTCTCCTGCAGTGAGCATATTAGATCTGGAGACGTGCAGAGGAGACAGATAAAAAATAAAAGAATAAAGCATTGACGAACACTTAAGAAATCGGAACTGCCTGGGTTTTTTAATTAAAAATTGATGTTATATTAGAGGTGAAGATTTCAACTCAACAGTCAGAGGAAATGGAGTGTTTATTGAACTTGTTAGCTGCCGGGATGAGCGCATGCTTTCAGGCCCGCTGGGTGGCTCTATAGGCGCGTTCCCTGTGTTCAATCAATCACACTCAATCACTTCACTTTATTCAAGATCACGCATCCATTACACACATCACGATAGAGACATACACACACATCCTACAGTAAGCTTTCGTTTGATTATTTGAGAAAGTTATGACATTTGCTTTCATTTATGCATGAATTAAAGAGGTTCATCTGTGTCCATTTTTTGTGTTCAGGTTTGGTTTGGCTGTCATTAAAGTATTGAGAAAGGTTATAGAAGAAGATAATGTTGGTTGACATAAGCACCTTGGTTCATCAATATAGAGAACAAGAATGATGATTGAGCTTAAGGTTGACTCTTTGTTTATCTTCACACATGACAGACAAAAGTCTCGTGTAAAAGTTGTGTTTGTTAACTCATAATGAGTACAGCCTTGAGACCCCTCCTGATAAAAATACAATGAAATGCACATTTCTTTGTGCCATTGCTGTTTTCAAGTGTTCAAGTGTTGAGGAAAACGTTTTATGTGTGGATGACCCCATCGCTTCTAGTCGTAAATCTCTGAACTCTTCAGAAAGGCAGTGGTGTTGTCAGCATAGCTCTTTTTCATCAGACTAATCATGTGGCGTGTGGACTCCTCACCCTGGTAACCAGGACAATGGATACATATGGCCAAATCGATTTCCATATGCTCTGCTGAAAAGCTTTGTGCTGCAGACAGTGCTGAGGCTATTGTAAACTACAGACAAACAAAATGATCACCCCATTTTCTGCATTTTTTTCTGCAAGAACATACAAGCTGATACTGATGTATCATTTGCTAATTTCACGTTGTGGTTCCATCACAGCTATATCGGGCGGCTCTACACAGTAGAATATCTGCAAACCTTTTATTTGTTTTCAGGAACATAAAGAGTAAAGTCTTGAGGTGTAAACTAAAGTGTGGGTCCTATTTGGGAACATAACCTACTTGTTTTTGTTGAGGCACTCGTTTTTTTAACCGTCCCCTGCTCCTGCAACAGTTATGGCTGAGATTCCAGTTAAGTGGCTCCCTGTTCTCTGTGCTACAGTACGGCCATAGTGATCTCGAGTCACCAGGGGCGGTGGGGTTAAAACGCTGTACCTGTCACTGTAACAGGCTGATTATTGCCTGTGGAGCTGGCAGGTTTGTGCGGATGGCTCCCCTCCCTGCGTTCCCTGCTGGGAGAGAGGCCTGGGGCCCGTGCTCACTGAGGCTGAATGACTCACAATTGCCACAGCGACAGAGCCCGCAGCCACCTCCCATCCTCTCCAGCCGTTTCGCTGACTCACTTAGCGCACATGACAAATGACAAAATCACCCTGAACCTCCGCCCCCTCACTAAGACCCGATTGCCCATCGCCCACACTTTGCCTTCAGTACTTAAAGCTGGGATACATCTTGCCAAGCTTCATGAAACAAACTTAGTCTCCTGCAACTTGTTGTGGCCTTTCAAAGAACCACTTCACTGTGTAAGTCTATGGAGATGGTGCATATTTAAGTGTGACCCAGTGAACAGCATACCCTTGGCATTACTGCTGAAACACCCTGCTGTTACACATTTTTGAAACTCATTAAAACACTTCTCTAATGTTACAATGCTGGCGACAGAAAAAAAGCTATTATTTGTGGTGCATCATCAAAGGATGACTTCTTGCACTGTATTTTTAATAGGAAAGAGTGAGTGGCAAAAATACCCAAAGCAGACATTATATTACTCAGCTGTTAACAATACAGTATCTTTATATGCATGGTAATTTCTGAAAATATTCCACTGAAATGAAGCAATGCGTTCATCTTTTGGGATTATGAAGGCAACAGGGAACTCTGGGGTGCTTCAACACTATTTCAACCTGCTTACATTGCAGAAGCAAAAGCTGGCTAATAGTTCAATCTTACACCTCATATACTCTCCTAGTTAAACGCAGAGTGGCGAGAGAGTTGTAGCAGTTTGCAGATTTTCAGAATGGAGCAGAAAAGTAGAGATGGTTGTAATATTTAATGATGAAAAAATGTTGCTTGCTGCTGTAAAATTCTTGACCTCTTTGACCTTCACAATGCATTGCTGAGCAGATCCCCTAGTGTTGAAAAACATGCAGATGGTATGTGAAAAAATGACTCTACAGTCTACTTATTACATGAAGCTGCAAAAAAATGTATTTAAAGGCAAAATGGAGGTGTCAACATCCACACTGCATGTAATTGGTAATTGTTTTATTTCTTCATTTCCTCAGAGCCATTTTAAGCTCGTTTGTCTTTGACAATGACACTGCTCACTGAATCTGACTCCTCCAGCAGTGCTAGACACTGAAATATTCTGTATAACAATAGCACAATGCTCACACAATCACTTCATTTCTGCTCCTGCAGCCGAGCCTCAGATAGACAGGGATGCATGGCTCAATCTGTAAGTTACAACAGACACAGTTTTGTTGCCATTTTTGGGTGACTTAAGACAAGGAGTGTCACTGTTTATGAAGTGGAAAAGTTATCAGGGTCTTAAAAGTAAGGGGCAGTTTAATAGAAATCAAGAGCGAGATATTTTTTCAAGAATCCTAAAGGGGCTTTTTGTAGGACACCACAGGGGCTCTTATGCTAGCAGAAAGCTACCCTCTGTGCCCAGCAGCCACCAGCTCAGTGAGGAAGAGAAATCAAACACAATCTAGTCCTCTATAAGCACCACAGGGAATGATGTATCTGTCATTAAAGTCATCATGTATGTCCTTAGCTCAAACTCAAAAAACCAAAGAAATACAAAGGGTTAAAATAAATAGCTGCAAATTTTGAGCACAATTACTGAGTTTGGGATTCTCAAAGAAACTATCAGAATCATCAAAAAGGAAGAAGTCCTTGTTGCGGTGCTAGCTTTGCATTAGAAAGGTAACTAGAGCAATGGGTCCCTGGTCTCTGAGGTAAAAAAAAAAAAGGTCAGATTAAGGGAAAAACGGAGCCCTCTCATGTGAGTCCAAACACCAAACCGCAACCACCTCAGCGGGAAAACCCTCTCGCAAAGCCAGCTGAAATGCGATCCACGTTGTTATGGAAGGAAATGCACGTTTTCTTTTTTTTTTTTCGGGAGACAGAAAATCAATATTGCTGACTGACTGCCGAGCAAGTGAACAAATCTGAGTGAGCTTGAAAAACCTGCATAAATGGAATAAAAATGAGTCAGACTTAATAATCCAGACTAAGCCTGTTTAAGGAAGCCCTGGCAGTCAAGACAGTAGATGGATCACAGCACAGACAGGAATGCATGCATTATGCATGGCTGTAAAATCTCCTGGGTAGTACACACTAGACACAGATACACAACTTGCCTTTCATGTTTGCATTACTTATTGTTCATGTTTACTACCGCTTTAAATACACAATTGGCCTATGTGTGTGTGTGTGCTTTCCCCAATGTCAAAATATAACAATAAATATAACAATACTTCCATGGATCATTCAAAAGAATCTGCCAATATTATATTGTTACTATTGAGTACTTACTCATTACTTTACATTCACACTCACAAATGCAATACCACTTCTCCCCCATGCATTGAGACCAACTCAAATGTGCTTCAGTGACAAAAAGCTGTGTTTTAAAACATGGAACACAGTTAAGTCTACTTTCTACTTAGTGCTTCTTCATTAAAGAACAATTGCTCTCCAGTTAGAGGTTTTCAAGTGACCTTTTCTGACTTTGTTTCAGGAAAAATAAGATTTAAGATGAGAAAAAAAAAAGGAAATTGGTGTTTATAGCCTCAATTCTGCTCTTTTTGGTACATTAAAACTCTTTAAAAGAGCATACATTTACTTCTAACCTCTGCTGTCGGAGAAACAACTCTACAAAGCATCTCTTAATGATAGTGCTTCATTGTTCTGGAGTAGTACAGCCTTTGTGAAAAATGGTCCCCCCCTTTAGAAATATTGATTAAACTGCCCAGACGCCACACAGGTAACACACTTTGTGTGAATTCTGTTTTGGCGTGGATTTTCTGTTTGAATCTGTTCTTTGATCCCTCTGGCTTCAGCAGTAGTTTGAAGGAGGCATATGAGCCCATTACTGGTGAGCTTAGGGAATTACATCGGCTTTGTGTAGACTAGACATAAAGGAGTATTTTCTCCCACAGCAGAGGTAAACAAAAAAATGTAATAATAGCAATACCTGCAACATTTCAGCCTTTATTTTATATATATAACATTGATAGAATGTCAGGGCTACTACCAGTAGAGGACTGACGGTAAATGAAGTATTGATTAGACCTTTAATTTCTTTTCTGTCCACGTTTCTTTCTACCTCGCTAATAACTGCCTACTTTCTTTCTCTGTTTTCTTCTTCCATTCCCTTCCTCCACCACCCCCACACTTCAGGTGGCCCTTGGTCAAGAAGACGACTCTGCTAGCCCCAAGAGCTCTTCAGACGACTCCTCCAAGATGGTGGGCCTCCTGAGTGGGCAGACGCCACTCTCGCCCCTGAGCCGCTGGATGCTTCACAGTAAGAGCAGAGCAGCTAACACAACTTCTCTGGAGCTCCCCTACCGGACCCCGGTCCCTTTTTCCAAGCAGGAGTTTTCCAAACAGGAGTTCTGGGAGATGTTGGGCAGCGACCTGCTCAAACCGGACGCTTCCAGCTCCAGAGTCAAACGGCGACCAATCGTCAAGACGGGCAAGTTCAAGAAGATGTTTGGCTGGGGAGACTTCTACTCCAACATCAAGACGGTGAGGCTTAATCTGCTGATCACCGGCAAGATTGTGGATCACGGTAACGGCACATTCAGCGTCTACTTCCGCCACAACTCCACAGGCCAGGGAAACATCTCAGTGAGCCTGGTGCCACCCGTCAAGGCGGTTGAGTTCGATCTGGAGCGCCAGAGCGTGGTCTACCCAAAGGACTCAAAGATCTTCAACTGCCGCGTGGACTATGAAAAGGTGGATCGCAGCAAGCGCACGTCGCCGTGCAACTACGACCCCTCCAAAACCTGCTTTCAGGAGCAGATCCAGAGCCACGTGTCCTGGATCTGCTCCAAGCCTTTCAAGGTTATCTGCATCTACATTTCCTTCTACAGTACGGACTACCGTCTGGTCCAGAAGGTTTGCCCGGACTACAACTACCACAACGAGATGCCCTATCTGCCCTCGGGTTAGAGTGCTAGTAGGGGGTGAGGAGAGGTGGGAGAGGAGAAGAAAAAAAAAGTGAGGGTGAGAAGAAGTGACTGCAACATAAGAGGAGGAAACCAGGGCTGAGAGTCATCCTTAATGCCACGGTGGCTGAAGATACCTTAAAAAAGCCCTCTTTGTAGCCTGACTTCTGTAAGATGTAAAAACATATATGCAAAACTAAAACTACCGTATGCAGACAAAGAGGCATTTGGAATGCTAAACAGCAGCATTCATTAACTGGGACTGCTACTGAAATTCAAAAACCGCCAACATGCACATTCTTACCTCAATCCTGTTTTGTAATGCCAACTTTCTCGCCAGCTATTTCTGTCCTCCATTCAGTCATTTGTTAATGTGGAATGTTCTTTTAATCACCTTTTTGCAAAGACACAAGGCAGTATTTACTGTAAAAGAACACATTTAAATGCTCTGATAAGACTCACTAGAGAGTTGTATACCAATCCAGACTTTATTACAAACATCATGACGGTACTTAACATCGTACACTGTGATGGCATAGACGACTTTTCAATTGTATCCAAGGAATGTCTTTTTTTCCTCGTACTAAGAGCAGATGAATGTAAAGTGTAAGCAGTCGCAGGATCTTTTAGGTTACACTTAAAGTTTCTTTCAATTGGGCATGCTTTTAATGCTTTCTTTACAGTTCTTCTAACTCTTTCATTTCACATGTAAGCATCCCATCATGGCGTTTTCAGTGTGTAGTGTTGGGTTTTGCAACCTGCCAAATCTGATTACTCCATACTTCATGCACACCACCTTTATTTCAGTGGGAAAAAAAAGGACAGAAGGGACGAAAAGAAAAAATAAAATTGCCAAGGAAAAGTATTTTCTCAACAAAGATTTAGGACCAGGGCTTAAGACAAGTTCAGTGCAAAGGAAATAACTAGATTCTGCATAGAGATAGAATTGGCCCTCCATACTTAAAGAGAGAAGGGGGAGAGAGTGAGAGGTGGGGGAGAGAGGGAGAGCGATTCAGTGAGCTGTTTTAATTAAAGTGGAGAAGGAGATGTAGAGTATGCAGCTCCTTCTATTGTCCCCTCTGTATGAAAAAGATTACATTTTGTTGCCGTCAGGATTCCTGATTTCACGCCTTGATAACTTTGACTGTGTGCGGGAGATTGCTCTCTCCCGACAAATGCTGTGTTCACTAACGGCGTCCCGTTATCTTGAATAAATGAAAATATTATCATAATAATTGCATATAATTTAATCTCCTTTAGAACTAATTAAGGTTTCAACAAGAGGGCGAATTGTATTCCTAAAAATCAAGACAGTGGGAGGATAAGAGGACAATTCAAAAGGATTGTTGTGTTTTTTTGGGTTTTTTTTATAGCATGGAGCTGGCAGCCAAAGCAGGGCCCAGAGTTAACTGCTCTCATTAAGATAAATGGCCACAGGCTGGCCCATCTCATGTTGCTCTCACAAATATTATCAGTGGAGAGGAGCTCACAGTGGAGCTATGAATTAGGTAGGATGTGTGCAGAGAGGTTAACCCTGTCCTGCTTATGAGGACATAATGACTTTTCAGTTCATTAACAATGTTGCAAGAAAGGTGTGAAGAGTCATTAACCGGCAAGATAAGATAACCGTTTTGATGTTAATTTGATACGATATCGGGGATGAAGCCGATATCAAGCAGTGTTGTCCCAGGTGGGCGGTGAATGAAAGCGTCCTCCTGCGGGGGGAAGCATAAGGCCAGACATAAATGCATGCTCTCAGCTGCTCAGTGTGAGAGCAGGAGAGCAGCTAAAGATTGCAACAAAGACCTGTAAATGTGATCATCAGAGCTCTGCGTTTTTAATTTACTCTTAAAGAGGGGGGTAGCTCCTCTCCATATGCCACCAAATCAACGTGAGAAATGGCAGCAGGGCACGAGCAATTCTGCAGGGGACTGACAGCACCTGCAGGAATGAAACATGCTGCTTAAGTCAAACCTCTGCTTTCTCTTGCATGTCATCGTTTGTCCAAAGAGATATTTCCTACATGCATCCATTTGATTCCGAAAACATATCTGGCTCCTGGTTTACTGCAAGAGTCTCGCAAAACTGAGGCGATTTTCGAGGCGAGGAAACTATCAATCAGAGCGCCAACTCCAGGAAAGCTTGTCTAGACACACTCTCATTTCTGCCATGTCACAGTAAGTGATTATGCAGGATTTATTTGAAAGTAAACATAAAGAGTCCCAGTGGAACATGCAGTATAGATGAGGGATTGGCAGCATCTGAAACCAACTGCATGACACATGTCTGAGAATCTTTTCTTTTACTGCTGGATGCACGTGTATAAATTGCGTACAAACCAGCAAATACGACGCAATGCCTCTTCTTCCATCCATCCCACTGGCTGTACAAAAGAGGCTGGCAAAGCCTTGTGACATCACCCCTCGGTTTTAACCACCTTTTGACGCCAAAAGTTTGACATCTTGTTTTTTTTAAACCATGCAATATGATTGTGGACATTGTTTAGCTGTGTTTAATTGTGCTCAATTTATTACATCAATTAGTCGACTTGTCCGAATCTAAATTTTCATTTTCTTGACAGGGAAATTAACCCCTAAAAATACCTCATTTAAAGGCTAAGTCAACGTCTTTTAAACAGTCAATGGTTCATCCATTTCCTCATCCTCCAGCTCTGTTTGCCCTTTCTGTATACATCTGCCTGTTACTCATCTCCTCGCCGTTGTCCTCTGTATGTGTGACCTCGGTTGACTTGACCCTCATACCCTCTCTACCTCCCTTACCCTGGCATTGAACCCTGCTGTGGGTAGTTCCTCATCGCTGCCCCGCCCGCCCTCCTGCGCACAGCACTGATCTGAGCTGGCTAATCTCTGTGAGCTTAACGCAGAGCACTGAGAGCTACCCTCTCTTCTCCTCTTTCTATTTCTCTCTCTATCTGGATCCCATCAAACAAATGCGTGTGCACACACAGTTTTAAAGTTGTGCTGGTTTAGGTATTTTCCTCTCTCATGTTCAAAGCATCTCACATAAGCCCCCTGGATTGAGCGAACATGAGATCTCCTCGAGAGCATGCCAACGGACTGCCCAACACAGATGCACCCCCGGTGACCTCAATACTCCCCCCCCCTTTCCCTTTATCATGCAGAGCATCCAGAGAGAAGCTGGATTCTCACACATGTTGGAGTATTGAACTCATGTAGAAACAAGAAGCACACATGATGTGTGACACGTCCGGAAGAATCCCTCACCCGGCTCCTTACCGATCCTCTCAGATTTACAGCAATACTCTCACCGAGACTCCACCCTCTCCGCCTCTCCGGGGCGACCTTAAAAAAAGGCTGCTGGACTACGTTTATGAGTCAGTCATGTTGCTGTATGATGGACCATGTTGTTACTGTAGCAGCCTTACTGTTGACCCATCTAGTGCCAACAGACATGTGGATATTTGGCCTTAGAGACTGCTGCAGAACTCTGGTCCACTCAGTAAAGAATATTATCAAAACTGGACTGTCAAAAAGATAAATATACATATATATATATATATATATATATATAAAACTAAGAGTCCTCAGATCTGAATAAAGTTGTATTTAACTGTGGGTCATGAAGTGGAGGTCGTCTGTTTTATTTTTCTGTTCCTCATGTTTTTTTGTTTTTCTATGTCATATTGATGATATACTGTATGGATGATATGATGGCATTTACTGTGGTTTTCAACATTCTAAAAATCAATAAAGTGCCAGAAAAAGTACTTGAACCACTTCCATTGTGGAGATATAGACTTAAATAATATACCTGGTTGTGCTTTATGTGTAGGAAGAGTGTCAACAATACTCAAGTCTCTTTTTTTTCCTTCTCATATTTGCATACCCATACTGTGTGCGCCTACGGCAAAGAAAAGATGTGACAGTTTTTTTTTTTTGTGCTAAGGGCTCTGGCAGATATACATGCAGAGAGAGAAGAAACAGAAGGGGAAAAGAGGAGCAGAGAGGGAAAATGGGGTTGAAAGAGAGAAGGGGAAGGAAATGTTTCAACTGGAAATGATGCTTGAACACAACTCGATTCCCTAATTAGCCTCCTCTCTCTTTTCCTCTCCCCGCTCTCTCACTCTTTGCTTTCTTTGTTGTTTGTCTCTGTGCTCCCCGTTCATTTAAGGATGTAACTGACATTAAATTCACTCTACTTCTTAATTAAATCCCAGACAACTGTTAACGAGGGGATGGGTTCAAACATTCAGCTCACAACATGCCTTTAAATAAGAGAGATTACGGCATGGCTGGAGGCAAAGGCAGCCCTCCCCTCTCCCTGCCCCCTTGTTCCCATAAAAGTGCTTCCTGCCTGGGGATAACCTTGCCGGAGATGATGAAAGGGAGGAAAATAAGTCAACACAGAGACAGAAGAATAGAAATCTAATTTGGAAGGAAGCTGGATTGAGGTTAATGTGAAATCTGTGCGAGCAGCAGAGTGGGTCAAATGTCTACAATGGCGCATGAAAAACTGCATCATGTGCTCAGAGGGCAAAAACTGCCGGCAACAATCATCGATAACGGACATAAGGGTTTACAAGAAGTACAGAATAATTTTTGTTGTCCAGGAAAAGAAAAACAATTTGAGAGTGTGAACTTCTCAGAGAGGAAAGGGCATTTCAGTATGAGTAATGGGGAGCTGGACGATAGTCAATTGAGAAAATAACTAGTCATAGCATGAGGAGGCGGAAGAAGGCGTGTGAAGCTTAAAATGATAAATAGACACTCCGAAAAATAACCTTGAGGTATGAAAACATGCGTCTGGGAAAAGTCGACAACAAGAGCGAAGACGGACTCCTTGTTAACACTGCTGTTTTGACTGAAGAGTTATGAGGTGTGAAATTTGATCCTGCAGAGTAATAAAAACTTGTCATTTTGTAGAATGACACGTCACAGCGCAAAGTGCGGTACTGCTCTGGCGGTAGAGAGATTGCACGCAGCGACATCATCCCCCTCGTGTTGACAAAGTCGAAAGTCGAAAGCCGCAACCTCGGCGCTCTCATTCTTCACTCTTTGAAATCATCAACTAAGGATTAGACGGTATAGAAGTTTGATGAGAGTCAAGATGAAACACAGAGAGAAAAGAGTGATATTGAGGTCTTATTAGAAATCTGATTTCATCAGTCGTCTGGAACTAATATGATACAGGTTTCTCCCTGATGGCAAAATCTGTAAACCCTGCATTGAGAATCATTTTCTTGGTATGACTTTTTTTCTACTCTACTTTTACACACGCACACACACACACACAATCTTCATTTAAATGACTTGTGTGTCTACAGATCTCTTTGTGTTTTGAAGAGCCGTGTGGGGTCAGCATGCTAACCCATCTGAAAATTTCATTAGTCTGGGCTTTCAGAGATTTTGGTGTCTCACTTTGTTGTAAATGTGGAATTCAGGGGCGTTTTGCCTTGAAAAAGGAAATATGAGAGTGATACATGTGGTCAAGAATAACAACTTGTATAATTCGTATGACAAAAATTCTAGACAGCCATTGAGTGTGTCTGCAATCTGTTCCCTCATCATATTGGACTCGGATCTTATAGAGAGGGATTACAGCTTTTGTTACCTGGATACCAACTCCATCCAGATGCAATTTATTATCAAACCTTCCGCTCGCTGCACTCGCTGAATTCAAATACACTTGATGTTCTTTGATATTCTAGACTGCCTATCGGGTCTGTCACGGTCACGCTCTTAGTACGGACGCAATTGTGCGAAAGCAAATGTACACATGCATGTGCTCGCTGCCCACCCACACTTAGTAGCACACACTTAAGTGGTTTCATGCACCAGCATCTTAATAGTCTCTCTGCCCTGTGAGTGGACAAGCAGGTGGGCCGAGTCTCCGCCACAGAGCATCATGAAGAGACAAACACGGACAAATATGGGATCGGCCTCTCAGCCCCCGCAGCTTCTTTCATGATGAAGCAGCACAGCCTCTATCTGCCAGTCACTGTGCTTTCTGCCCAGGCTGGACACAGCGCAGGGCACACATGCTCAACAGAGGGAAATTATAGTGCAGTGAAGGGGTTGAGGAAGCAGCGGGGGGGGGGGGGATTGTGGAGGCAGTGAGAGCTGGTTTTGCAAAAAAAGAAAGCACAGATGGCCCAGGGCTACAACATGGTGGGAAGAGGAGAGAATAACTGCAAAAAAGATAATTAGAAGGGCAGAATTTCACACACACCTCCTTAAAAGTTAGCACACCCCTACCTCTGTTTGCAAAATATGTTATTCCTATAAATCTTTTTTTTCCGGAGACAAACAAGAAACACTGAGGGTTGTAAAAGCTTTGCTGTAACTTGTAAAACAACAACAGGATAAGTCACTTTGCATTGCAATGGTGGTTGACGACAAAAAGCCTCAACGCCCAATGTGGAAATTCAAGCTGGGCATGTGTGTCGTGCAGTGTGGCAGTATTAGCTGGAGGCCATGATGGAGACATTAGGGCTGTGATCTCTGTATTAGCCCGAGAAAAGGACATTTCCACTTAACTAAAGGAAGCGATGGAGAGGAGGGGTAATTTAAATTCAGTGACAAGGCTTTAAATACCAGCCAGGGATCACAGTTGTGCCCTTTGGCAAAGTAATTATTCACTCCCTTAGAAGACGATCAGGTGTGGATGTGTGCGTGAGGAGTGTGTCGGCATCTTTTTGTGTGTGTGTGTGTGTGTGTGTATGTGTGTGTGTTTGATTGAACCTGGGGGGAGCGAGGGAGGTGTGAAATGTTACAGTTTCTCCTCTTTTCATGTAACTGAGAAGTGATTATGCCAAACTCTTCAGTGGAGAGAAAAGGTGCTCAGCTACGCGCTCATATCAGGTGATAAACCTGAGAATGAAAAGAGAGAGAAGGAGAAGGAGACGTAAAACAAGAACTGCTAAAGGTTAACTTTTCCACCTCTCCATCACTGCCTCTCAACAGCATGTTCTTGCCTCTCACTTTTATTTTTATAACCTTCAACCATGAGCGGTGTGATCCCAGGAGGAGGAGGAGGAGCTGTCTCCCACTGAGGCCGGGCCGAGGATCAGCTCAGGGGCTGATGGGAAGAGGCTCTCATTGGCAAACTGTCCTTCAAAAACTGCAGCCTGATGGATTTTTTGGCCCTGGTGTTGCCTCTATCTCTCCCAACACATCCTCCTTTGCCTTCCTTCTGGCAGCACTCCATCTCCCCTGAGCTGCCTATATTACCCCAAAGTTACCGACCAAGTAGCCCCAGCACACACATAAACACACACACAAACATGTTCCTGCAGGTCTGTTTCTGCTGACAGTCCAGTGCTGAATACTGTGAGGCTGCTTTCTTGATAAAGCAAGACCTCGTTGGCTGCCATGTTTCTTCTCATTATCTTTGTTTGGGGCAGACTCACACCCACAGAGCCATCTTTTTCCCTCCTCAGACCTGTCATGTGAGACTGTTGGGCACACATTGTTGCAACGCTGCTGCACGAGTTCATCACAAACCCGTCGATGTGCAGACTCAGCTGCGGAGAGCACGCAACACCTCGATCAGTCTTCATTTGCCTCCTCTTCCTCGTTATATTTCGCCTCTTATCCGGAGAAGACAAACAGGGATCTCTCAAGTGAAAGGCTTGACGTTGCAGTCTCTCTATTACTGAGCACATTTCTTTGTGAGCATTTGAATTTTCACAAAAGGCTAGTGGTGACCAATGTCTCATGTGTGCACCCTGCTGGGCTCAGCAGTTCCCTAAAGCTATAGGACCAAACTGCAGCCACAAAAAAGGTTGTTTAAGGATGCACTCACACAAGGCAGTCTTTTCCCCTTGCGCACACTTCACCTTCAAAGTAAAGTAGCACGGTACACTTCCTTAGCCCTGGCATGGTTGGAAAAGGTATGCTTCGGTACGGTAAAGTTGGTCATGCACAAGCACAAGCGCAGGTACACAACGTGGACATTTAGTGCAGTCAAAACACTGGTGTGTTATGGCTGCATCCGACCAAAATGAATCAAAATAAGCGACACAGTCAGTAACGACGCTGTCATATTCTCTGTGTTGCGCGCCGATGTGCGGCTGCGGACTCAACCACATGTCCCTTTTTTATTTATTTAATTTTTGAGTCTGCCTGTCTTGTAAACTATGCATGCTTCATGATCAATCAAAGCTATACATGCATTGTATCACAGTGTCATATACAAGAGTTACAGTGCTCAGGCCCGGTTAGTCCTGGAGCAGTGTGAGTGCTGGCCAGCAGGGGAATGGGGAGGGGGACAATCATGCTTGAGGACGGTACGGGGCAACTGGGCCTAGTGCGAGTGCGCCCTAAGGGCATCATCTCTTCCAACAGGCACTTAAATTACATTTTTTTCCTTCCAAAAAGTAAAGCTCCCTTGAGTAACTCCTAAATGCACTCCACGGACAAACACTTGGTTGACCTCAATAGCTTTCCTTCAAATACGTAGCAGCAAACGCTTTCGCGGTTGCTCTTTATGAAATGGACGAGTTTGGACATGTTCCCTCTGTAAAATGTCTGAATAAACTCCTTGCGGCTGCTTTTATTGCTCTTGGATGGAGCTGATATTGATGGAGCAGCTTCCCCGTTTACAACACCTTTTAAAAAGAGAAAGCTACGATGGAGAGCAGGCTCATAGCAGGAAGGTAATTGGAAGACTGGACTTTAATACGACCTCTCAATGATAATGGACGGTCATGCAGTTATAGTTGCAAGCTGACATTTTAGCAAATTAAAAGAGGATCTGAGCATATTG